GTGCCTTACCTGTTGTTGCTGGGTGCCCACGGTTTTCTTTCTGTCTGTCTCTCTCTCTCTCGTTCTCTCTCTTCCCCCAACTGGTCAAGGCAGGATGACCACCCACCTTTGAGCCGGAAGGGTCTGTCCGAGGTTCTGGCCTGTTAAAAGGCAGTTTTTTCCTTGCCCTGGTCTCCAAGGTCTTGCTCACTAGGTGGTACGTTGGGTCTCTGTAAATGTTAAAAGGAGTTCGGTCTAGACCTGCTCTAATTTGAAAAGTGTCCTGAGATAACTTCTGTTATGAATTGGCGCTATACAAATAAAATAGAATTTAATCACTGCAAGTGGTTCTCATAAAGATTTTTTTAAAATTTGCGACTGACAAGGACTATGACCAAATCATAGATTGTCTTTGAGGTACTCTACTGGAGGGATGAACAGCATTCTTCCAAAAGATTTCCCCTCATTTTCTGTTTAGATGATGGTGGTGAACCACACTCAAAATTCTTAGGTGTTCAGTTGGGTTGAGATCTGGTAAGGATGGAATATAATCTGATTAAGAATGGTGGACAGCAACTCTGTTATTATTGCCAGATAGAGGCAGAAACAAGACATGCTGAAAACAGAAAAGGTGTGGCTGCTATATTCTGCTTGGTGACATTCAAAGCCGAAACAAAACCATCAGTTATTTGGCACAGAGCTTTACCAAGTTGTCAACCCAAGACCAAGATTGAAGACCTGTCACTCAGTGTAGACATTGGCACATTGCCTCCAGAGAAAAGTGTTCATGAAGGAAATCAAACTTTGTATGGACTAAAAAAAGGCCTGGACTTTCTTTTGAATTTGTCAAGTGCAGTTCTGTTGCATATTCTTAGCATCAGTGGGTTTGGCCAGAAATCAGTAGATGAATGGATCACATCTGGAATAGAATAACACTTTAAACCTTTCAATTTGATCCCGTCATCCTGCCTTTTCAACACACAGAAGTGCTTAAGGATGTTCACTCACTCATATGTTTGCTGGTAGTAATAATCCAGAACTGTGTCCGTGTGTGTATGCATGTGCACAACAACGATGAGATTATAGATTGACTTGACGCAGACACAGAGGTTTCTAGAAATCTTTTACAATCCTTTGATATTAATCTTCAATCAATTAGGCGAGTTAGCGAGGGTTGCCGTGTTGGAGTGTGAACAAGGGGAGGGGTGTCAGTTTCTGTGGGACTGAACAATATAAAATTATATTCTGATGTTTCACATGCTTGAATTACTATCATAAAGGTATTTGATTTGTTTTCCCTTGTCATAAATGAAATCCTAACATAAAAAGAAGAGCTTGGATTCTCTACCCGAACCCGACTGGACCCGACACAGCCTGCCAGGTTTGGGCCAAATATGCTGCTGTAGGACGGGCACTGCATGCTACTGTAATTAATGAGTGAATTTGTTATTCATTTGTTTTGATAAATATTTGCATTATATTATTTGCACAGTAATAAACTTTTAATCTTTTATTTATTTATTTATTTTACACAGAAATGTGGGTTCGGGTCAGTCCAAAACTGCTTTATTTACTTCAACTACAAAAGGAAGCAACCAACCTCAACACAACACAAAAATTCCATGTTTCCTTTATCATGTCATATTTTAGTCTGCTCTGCAGTTTTGTCTGTTAAGAGAAATACTGTTTTATTTCACTAATTATTTCTAATGACTTCCACTTTGCCTTATTTTTTCATATTTCATTATTTTATCAATTAAACTTCCTGCAGAGATGTTTCACATTCCATTCCAGTGATGACAGTATGATCATGGCAAAATGCTGCAGGAAAAATAGATTTTTGTAGTCAAGTTAACATCGCCCTGGTTCCTTTATTTATCAAAAGAAATCCAGATTAATATTGATGTTCAGTACTTCAGTAGTATTTATTAAACAGTTTAAACAGCTAGTTTTATTATATGTAGCTTCACATTTAGTTATCCTTGTATTTCAGGAAGTGCTTGCAGATAAAGTTAGCAGTAATTGCACTAGTGGTAATAAGAGTATATACACTTTGTTTTTTTAGGAGTTAAAGTAGTGGGATTAGTAGTAGAGGAAGAAGTCAGGAATATTATTATATCTTTAATATCTTTTTAGCGAAGTCATACTGTCAGCTGATCACTGGTAGAGAGAAAGTTTCAGTATGTATATAAAATAAACAAAGAACATAGAGGAAAGAGATGTATGCACATGGTGTGAAAATGATATGAATATTGTAATACAAATATTTATAAATTCCACTCACACAGTCAGAGTAATAATGGATCCAGGTATGAAATTTGACACAGAAAAATATTTTCAGACTGAATTGAATAAATGTTCCTCCAAACAAAACGGAAGAAAAATATTCAGATGCACTGCTCCACTTGATTAGATTACATAAATAAACCTGTGATGGTGCTCGGCAAGTATGCGAATAACCCCGTCTCTCCCTTTAACACGTCTCCCACACCTCTATGTGAGTGACTGCCAGGGGGTTCTTCCTGCTGTACTTTTCCACAACCTGCGCTCAACACAACGCTGGTTCTGATCACTTCTGTAAAATGTGGATTTCAGTTTGAAAGTCAACTGCCAGTTATTTTAATTAATTCATTATTAATACAATATTTGCGTATTTCAACCGCTGTATGTTAGAGCTGTGAATCTTCACTGGCCTCACAGTCTGATTTGATTACGAATCACCTGTCAACTATTCAAATGCACAACAATTCTCTGTGTATTGCATCCTCAATTTTATATATTCCTATAAAAACAAAACTATTGCTGTTATTGTTACAGATGGGTCAGTTGAGACAGAAGTTTCCCTTTATTCTTTATGGTTGCCAACCTTAACTCAGAGTGAAAACAGTTCACATGATTCCTCAAATTCCTTGTATTATTAAAGTATTGCATTGTTTGTAAGGCAGATATTCCACACAGTCTGTGTCCTGTCATCCAGTTGGTGCTTTCCAGTAAGTTCATAAAATCCAAAATGTTACCAGAATTCCACTTTCAAAATACTGGGTGTGTTTTTTATCACTCTCTGCTGATCTCTGCCTCCCCCCGTCATACTTTGTTAAGTGCTTGAATTTTGGCATTGGACTTCATTAGTGTGCTGCAGATATCAATATGCATGTAAATCCAAGGTGACTGGACTGGTACCCAGGACTCAATAGCCCCTTATATAGTATTTTAAGTACCCATGTACAAATACTAATTGTATGCTACTCAATACAAGAATAAAATAAAACTCCATACCTCTGG